GCCGGTGGTTATTTTTTAAATAACTTTGGATAGAACCACTGTAGAGAGCTGCAGTTTTCACCGTTAAAAAGAGGAGACGGAGACCCATCAAACTGTATATTACAGAGTAATTTGACCTTGTTTTATCAAGGACTTAAATCGACGTTTTTGAAAACCAACATACTCGGTAAGGTGACTAAGGCCAATTTTCAATAATCATGTATGGATTCGAACCGCTAAATGAAGATCTTTAAAACTACGCAAGGCCCAGACTTTTACGCTTACCCGTTCAGGAGTTACAGGCATTTTATGTGAAACTCTTAGCCAATTTTTCTATCAATTTCTGTAAAAAAAATCACTTGTTTGCGTTTTTCTTATTTTTAGAGAAACCGATTTTCCGTTATTTTTTCAGAAAACTGATTAAGAAAACTTTAGAAAAAACCTTAAAGGAACCTATAATATACCATTCGGTGCGTCTTCATCTCCTCTTTTCAACGGTGGAAATCGCAACTCTCTACAGCGATTCGATCAAAAGTTATTCAAAAAATACCCACCCGTCTTTTTTTTGAAATGGGCAATAGTTAGTTGTTGTTGACGAGACGATGAGTCATGGACTTTTATGATAGTGAGTGATGTTATCACTAATATGAACTGACATGATTAACCTTAGATATAGTGGAATATGTGGTGAAAAATAAATCATGAACAAAGAAAATTGTAAGAATTCAAAAAGTATTGCAGTCAAATATTTAGTGTCTTATTAGATCGGGATGTGAGTTCTTTTGATGAGATCAATTAATAATTTGTTGTATGGAAAAAAACTCTCAATTTATTTTTTGTAAATGTTACGAACAGTAAAATAAATTCGTGAGAAACTTCACATATTTTCTGGTTCCCAATATGTATTCAGTTGTTTATCTCATCTGTATTTTAATAAAAGTGTGCATATAGAATCTTAGTTACATTTTATTTCAATCATCGTAAAGAGTGAAATGTATTTTTCTTTTGTTTTATACATGTTGTCAACGTCACTTGCATTATTCAAATTTATATTGTCTAATGATTATGACTGATATGTCACGTAAATTGAACGTTTTGAGCAAAATAAAATAGAATTTTTAAAAGATTTGAAAACAAAAAATAATAATTATTGATCTCACATATATTCATGTGAAGTTATGTTCGAATTTCATTCAATGGCTGCTAAATCTGCGAAATTACAAGTCTTTTTATCCATCTTTATTTGTCTTCAAATTTTACCATAAGTTTGGATCATTTTTAAAACAAGAATATATGATGACATTATGTTTTGCTGATCTATTTTCCGACTCAAAAATAATGTTTAGGATGTTACAGTTTATTTACTACGTCAAGTCATGTTTACTAGCTTCTTTTAGAAGTCAATATATTCAATATTCAAAATTATATGCACAAGGCGGTAGAGTAAGAATGTATTATTCTTATCATTCAGACTTAACAGAGAAGGAAACTATGTAATTCATTTTCGTTTTTCAAAAATTAGATAAAATATTTATTAGTAGGAATTGCACTTTATCTTTATCCTGCTTTCAGGACTTGTATCTTTTATTGACATATCCTGTCTTCTCTTTCTTTGTATACATGTAAAGATGTAAATATAAATGTTAGATAATAAAAAAATATAAAAAAGAATTAGAAGAAGAACGTTCATAAACACGATATAAAAAGAGAAATTTTGGCTTTTAACATTTCGTAGGAACTCATTAAATTATATCTTATTTCAGCACTAGAATATTGTCTTTATTTATTACAAGAATAGAGAAGAGTAACATTTACCCTATTCCATCATAAGAGTTCTCAATCAAACATTTTTCTAAGGAATAATAGAGAGAGAGAGAGAATTATTAAGAGAAGCAAGAAATAATTGATGATAACAACGTTTAAATGCAATTCACATACTATCTATTGAGTAAAATATAAATAGAACATACCCGAAATAGACCAAATGCAACAAGAGAAAGTAATAATTTATTTCGACTGTGAAATCGGACAACATTTATCATATATTTACATTTCAAAAGAAAAAACAGTCATTTTCTACGGCATATAGGCAAGTATCACAGCCTTACTCTACTTTTGGATTACAATATTGTTGGTAAAAACTACAACAGCTATTGTTTACGATACTTCTTTAAACAATCATCTTCACCGCAACTAGAAAATACAGAATGTACGCATTATTGTTTGTCTTTTTAAATACTAAAATAAATGTATGTTCTATTTATTTCTTTTCCAATAGATGAAACAAATCCGATAGAATCTGAACTGCATCAGATGTCTAGCAGTAATGTTAAAGTCTTAGTAGAATTTGATATTGATTTTGAGCAGGTAAAAGAAAACTTATTCTGGTTAGAACTCATGATCTATATAAAATAATCATAAAGTTCAGATATTTCATTTTGATCGAAATTTCTATCAAAGGAAAGAATTTCTTTGTCACAAGTCATCTTTCAAATAGAAGATAATACTAGAACGATTACAGAAAATTTGAGGATGAACATGTATATTTTCTCTTAATTCATAGCCAAATCAGTTGATTGTTGTCGTCTCATGACGTTAGCAAAATTAAATATAGCAAATACTTGACTGATATTATCGAAGTAGTGTTCAGATAAATGTGTCAAGCACTTGAAAAATAAATAGACATAGAAAAGTCATTTTAATAGTGAAGTTAAGTATCTAGGTGAGTTGGTTCAAATACATTCACAACAGAAGAAATATGTGAACGTAGATCAGCCACAGATGCATGCCGTTTTTGGAAAAAAAGAATGTGTTTCCAATATGCCGTTTTCTATTTGTTATTTATTCATATTTTAGTGTGTCATTCTTCTCTTATATGTACTTCGACAGGACATTCTTCATATGTTCTTTGCTCGTACATAGCATTAAATTGCATATTCCTCTGAATTTGTCCTTACATCTCATCTGTTTCTGTTATTTTGTTTTTCCAGGTCATTCTATGTTACTCTTCATACTTGAAATAGTATATATATATCGACAAGGACAATACTCTATAGGTGCAATTCTTAGTATACTAATAAAGTATACAGATAACAGCTCTTAACAATATCTATAATATCAGAAACCTTCAAAATAAGCTTTAATGGAGGAAAATAAAGTCTTTAAAAATTTGTATTAATGTAACAAGAATACAACGCTTCCAATAAGACTTCGTAAAATTTCATGAAAATCTTACAATCAGATTTGGCACAAAATTGTGGTAAATCATTGTTTTTCATGAAATCTTTTATAATTATGTAAGATCTTGCTTTATAATTGTTCGCTTTAAGTAAAGGTACGAACATACTTATACCACACTTTAGTGTATATGTAATCTTAAATGCACAGTCAATGAAACAAAAAAAGGTTTCTGGTAAAATTCATTCTTTCTAGATCTTTCACAATATATTTTGTCTATGATTAAAATAAAAACTTTTGCTTATTTCGTTCTATTCTATAAAATGTTTTCTCTGTATGAAATGCAATTATTTTTTTTGTACACAGTTATTGAAAACTAGATTTATTTTAATTAATGCAAATGCTAGCGAATAGACAGACGTTTCAGTGTGCTTAAAAACTTTTTGTAATTCGATCAAGAGATAAGAGATAATTTGTCAAGAAGAATGAAGGAAAAGTAGTACGATCAGCAATAACAAATAAAAGTAAGAAAATATATAAACTTTCATCATTTCAGTATTTTCATTTTTCTTTATCGTTTTAATTAAAGGAAAAAAACAAGAAACAAAACTACAGCCCAAACAAAAGATCAATACTTTAACAAAAGTATAATTACAAATATTTCAAAATCATAGATTTTACTGAATTTTTATTCAACACATCGAACAGTGCAACGAGTAGCCTATCGAACATAGATGATTATTCAAATGCAGCCACTGCTACGGTATTGAATTTAGTATATGAAGATTTAACACTGAGTGTAATTTGCTATAAATAAAAAGAAGTGTAATATGACATAGTATTCTCTCTTCATTTACTAGTTAAAAATCAGAAAATTACTAGTAACTCATTTTCTCTGTGAAGGTGGATGTTTATAAAGTTGTTTAAAAACAGACAGAATGTAGGGATTGTAATTTTCTCGATATATTTTCTATATAATTAATATTGAAGAACATTTTCTTTCGTGGTAAGGCTAGCATTAATTTCAAATCTCATTTTTCTCGAGAAAGATTCATAATTGAACAATCAACCTAAACATAAAACTTTACGATTTCTGCAAAAACACGGTCTTTTTTCTTTCACTCGATATTGTTTTGATTGAAGCTCTTGAAAAAAGAATTATTTGAGAAAAAAAAGTTGTTTCATTATGACGTACTTTATAAGTTTTCATCAACCCGGATAATAGTTACATTTGTCAAGTCTTTGTAGCCGAAATTTATACCAGATAAATGAAAAGTAGAAGCAGATTGCAATAATTAAGTCGTATGATCTTTATCTAAAAAAAGATTATATTGGTTTTTTCTATTATGTTGACGAGATTTAACAGTCGTATCAGTTTTTATACGATTTATTGAGAAGATACTATCTTTTTGTACACGATAGAAGCTCTTCAAGATATTTGTTGTAAACATATCGAAGATACCACTGATGAGATGTTAATATGCCATACGAGCACAAACTGGTTTCTACTGTTCGACGAATGACTCCTCTCTGGTAGGGTTAATTTTTATCAACTTTGTTAGATTTCAAAATATGTCACTCAGCAAACGAAAATATTACTTGCAAGCATTTAAGTTACTCAGGCTTGGACAAAGGTGAAAACGGTTCGTTACTGTTAAAAAATGTTACCTCATTAAATAATGAAGATTTTATTACATGAGTAATTATATAAAATGCACTTCGTTTTGCAAAATCGAGATCAGTTGAAGTTATATGTGTGCTTGAGAAAGAAAATAATTAAAGACAAGTTGATTTCTATAAATTAAATGAAAAAATATTTTCTTATTGTCTCAGAATACTATTTCATGACTAAAAGTGAACGTATGGTTCAGATTTGTTTGTCTAATTTTATAATTTTCTTAAATATTTTAGCTGACAAGCTAATAAGTAATGCATCAACTACATGGAAACAAGTTGGAATTACAATGGCTGGTGATGATAAAGTAAAATTTGAAAGTGATAAGGAACTTAGCAATTCATATGATCTTGCATTCAACAGTAAAAATCAATATTTTTATGTAGCAGATTATGACAATGGTCGTATTCAACGCTATTCACTTAATAGTGATAGTAATCATACCGGTGTAACTGTATTAAAATTAAATAACAACACTGACTAAGGTCCAAAACCTCTTAGACTTTTTTTTGTGCTGGAATTTATAATAGTATATCAGTCAGATAGCAATTAAAAATATAGATAAACGAATAAATTGAAACAATTGATGTAAATAGTACAGGTCAAAGGCAAATAGAAATACGCTTCAGTACATTCACACATGTAGATCATTGTAGCACAACTTTTAATACTAGATCTGGTCTTACAGCTGTTATTTTTATTCTATAATTTCAATGTCATAATGAAAGAATATCTTAATATTTTTATGTTGTACTTTAAAATTAACAGTTCCAGATTTCATTTAGATTGTACGACGACTGATCTTGAAACATAAAAGTACTAAAAATATGTTTTCTTTATTGTTCTAGACCTTTTCCCTGGAATCCTTATAACAAAGGAAACAATCCAGAATTCGTATTTGTTGATAAAAACGATAATATATTTGTTTGTGAAGCACATCTTCCACGTCGTTTACTAAAATTATCCCAGAATGGCACAGAAACAACACTGATTGAATCAAAAGATGGCATTCTTCAGTCATGTTCAGAAATATGCGTTGACAAAAATGAAAATATATGTGTTTCAGACGGGGACCAACTTGCTGTGTGGAAATTCGATAAAAATGGTAAGATTGTGGCTGGTGGTAATGATTACGGCCAAGCACCAAATCAATTATTTCATCCAATAGGTATTTTTGTAGCCGAGAAAACTGGCAATATTTATGTTGCTGATTATATCAACCAACGTATTCAACGTTAGTCACTCGGGGCAAAAGTAGGAGTTACTGTTTGCGATGGAAATGGTAAGGGTGATGGTTTAAATCAATTAAATCATCCGTGCTCAGTTGTTATTGATAGTAATGAGAAACAAATTTATGTGGATGATGGTTTCAATGGTCGTGTTGTTCGTTCGTCAACAGGTGCAAAAAAAGGTGAAATTATTGTGAATGATGATAAAAATAGTAATAAACCAAATGAACGGTCTCGTGCTGATGGAATCACATTCGATGCAGATGGAAATTTATGTTACAGACCTTAACAAAAATCGAGTTCAAAAAATTTTGGTTGATAATTAAATTTACAGTAGACACTAGCTTTTTCAACAATACTACCTTGTCAATATACATATTAAGAGAAATTGAAGTTAAGAGTTAAAAAAGATTGACTAGAAATTTAGATTTTTGTAGAATAATTTAATAAATGACAAAAGAAATAAGCGAATAATTTGAACTGTGCAAGAAAGAAAAACTGACGAAGAACTAATTAACTGAACGAAGAGAATGAACTATCAATTGCGATATGATGGGCTTGAATAGATCTCTTATGAATTCTGATGAATGTTTCGATAGAATTTGATAAAGATTCTTATCACAACTTTCGCTAGAACATTCAAATCTCGATTTGTCCTAACGACTTCGATAAAACTCAATGAAATCTTTTAACTTATTGTACAACTCATTCGATTCCATTAAAATACTTATACCCTTGTGAAACTTCTTCTTAATAAAGTCTGAAATTTTGAGAATTACTCTGCAAACACTCAACCTTTTCTGAGCAATGTCCTAGAAAATTATGTGAGGAAAAAGATACCTATTTAAAAAGTCAAGCATGATTTCCTAGGAAAAGATTACGATCGAACTCTCTCAAAGACGTGTTAATTCAAAAAAAGATTCTTTCTCCGATTAGCTATACTGACAATTAATGCCAAGTATCTATCGATTCAAGTTCGCTCAAGAAACTTTAAAATTTTTTTATGTATTTTTGCTAGAGGAAACCTTTTATTATCTAGGAGTATTTCATCATTTTAAGATCATCTTTTTGTATCACAATAATATCAGATAAAATACACTTTCTCAAAGCTTGAGACTTCAACGCAAAAATATCGCTTTTATGTCATAAATAGAACATGATAAGCTGCGTTGAATGCTGCTTGAACCAATTTTCTAGTTCCGATAACATTCTAGATAATTTTAAAAACTATACATAATTGGAATCAACAAAATTATATTTTAGATTGTTCAATAAATGTAGGTAAACTGAATTTATGAGTAACGCTTACGCAATGCATATATGCGAGATATTAGTGATGCGCTAAAACATCTTCGAATATTTCGGAACGATATATTGTATCTTTAAAACGCAAGTACGAAAGAATGAGAAAAAAAAACTGCGTTACTCACGTCAATTTTTTCTGTTGTTTCGGTGTCAGTCTACAAATATATGTATATTCTTTCATTCTCTCGTGAATTTTCTTATGCTCTCTGCTAGTATAACCTGACAATGCGGCATTGTGTATTATTCGCATAGTAAAGGGTAATAATGAGACGATCATACAAAAAATATGTATTTATTACATTCGACTTTGACATCACGTAGTAATTGTTCATAATGCAATAGATGTATTCATTTGTTCTCATATACTTCATCTTTCAACGTATATTTTAAAGGTTTTTGTAGCTTGTGTATAAATATTCTTTTCCATCGTAAATAAAGAGATTTATTTCTCCATTTCTAGATAACTATAAATTATTTTTCGTATTGATATATAATGTCGAACTTAGATGCAAACAATTCTCATTCAAAAAGCTTTAATACTATTCCTCCATCACTATCAAAATTGGATTCTATGTTAATGTTACCAACAACTGATATAATATTTAGTGCTTCGTCAACTCCTATGCCAACAATAGGATGACAAATCATCTAAGCTGAACATAGTTTAGTACGGAGGTATTTCATATTTTATTGATCATGTTGTTCAGGAAGTGTATAATGAAGTTCATCAGAAAGTTCATGAAGAATTACAAGTAGCTCCAAGTGATTTATTCTACCAGATGGGTCAAAAATAACAGGGTATGGTGTGGGTGGGTGTGGGTGTGTGGATTTTTGTTTTCATAACTAACACCCATCCATACCCCACACCCACACCCACACCCACACCCTCCAAGGGCTTTCAGAAAAATAAAAATTATTTTGGGACAGCATGATTCAGTGTGGCTAGTGCCAATACTATGATAAATTTTCATTTTTAGATAATCGTCATTTTATTCGTAGATGGAGACCATCACTTGATAAATGGCATTGTAGAACATACTGAATTAGTGAATTTTGTAGCGAAAAAATTTCTGCATCTTTTGAGATGTTCTCGAATTCTCAGAAATGTTTGGATGCTGAGAAAAGTGCAAAATACTGGGAGCACTGAAAAATAGCGATTTTTTGACCAATTGCTGAGGGGTGTGTAGATATGGGCAACATGGTCCCGGTCCCAGCGGGACTAGAACCGGGACCGGAACCAATTTTTTTTGGACTGGGGCCAGGATCGGGACCGGGACAAACTTTTTTTTTGACAAAAACTAGAGTTTTTTTTTATTTAGACCAGGACTAGGGTTAATGCTTCTGTGCAGGACCGAGAGAAAACTGTTTTGACTAGATATGGACAACATGGTCCCGGCCCCGGTCCTGGTCCCGGCAGGACTAGGACCGGGACCGGGACCAATTTTTTTTGGACCGTGACCAGGATCGGGACCGGGATCGGGACCAAAAATGATTGGACCCGCTCATCTCTAGGGGTTTGTCACTTGCATGATCTGGCGTTTTTCACAGGAATGTTGGAATGGTCTGATAGTTTGGATTTAGGAACTCCTAATGATGCTCTATCGTTTTAGATAGTTAAATCGAAAACCAAAATTTTATCGGCGGCCGATCTCATGCAAAGTTAGTCGGGCCTCTCGTGGGCCCTCTCTTAACAACTCAATAAGATCTGATAAAGCAGCTACACTTTTATCAAGTATACATTTCAAAAGATATTGATGTGTAGCATTGTGATCCATGGGATTCTAGATCCAGAAGCGTGACAAACCAATTAACTAACCTCCAGCTTATATAGATTGCGTAAAAAACAAGATAATAAAGAGCATGCCTATGCAACCGTTATTAAACATTACTTATTTACTGAATTGAATTTAATCAAAAAGTCAAAAAAAATCAGTTTAATCAAACAGAAATCAGAAATCGGTTTTTTTCACTCTTGACTGTTCTTCTTTTTGTGC